CTGCTGAACAGAACAGTAACAAACCATCACAGGCTTGAGGCCAGCGACTAACTGGAAAAGTAGGCTGCTTCAGTTGTGGGGATAAAAACCTTCAGCAGAGAGGGGGGTCTTGAACAGATAGAGGTTTTTAAATGCTTCTGCCAGCACCTCCAGGTATGCATTAAACCCCTCAATTAAGGCACGCTGAGAAGCAAACGTTCCGAAGCCGACGTATTTTTTGCATACGGTACACAGCAGAAAGACTGAATCAGACCAACCAGTCTAAATAACTGATTTTGCAACTGAGACTCTTACACACTTATTTTTGCAGCAGGTTTGAAATTAAAACTTAAGCACAGTTTGCAAAATTTAAATCCAAACCAAACTTTAACATTATATCTGTCTCTGTTACTGTTTTCCTCAGTGGCAGTTAACTTGCCCCTAAAATTATTTAACAGACATAAAAGAAAATAAAATAAATCAATGTCCCTTTTTTATTTACCTCCTGTATGTAACTGGCTGCATGATATGTGACAAGTCTTGAATTCTCTCTCCTTTACACTCTAAAAATGCTACTTGCTGAATATACACACAAGAGAGTAAAAACTTTCACATGGTTAGTGGCGTCTTTTTAAAATTTCTAAGTTTATTAGAAGCTTTCTTGAAAACACACTAAGTCAACTGAAAAAAAGGTTTACATTGGATGTCTTTGTATACTGGCAAGTAATCCTAGCTCATATGCTTACCAGCTGCAGCAGGTATTATGCTGCAAAGAATCCTGAAGAAGATGGCTTTGTTACTTAAATAAAAGCTAGTTCTTCTTCCAAAAGAGAAAAATTCACAAAGACAAGCTTTCATCACGGCTTATTTTTGAGTTGTCTGCTGTCTTGTCTGTTAACTACTAAATGCAGACAGAGAAAAGAGCAACCCTACACACAGACGATGCCTCTTTAGACATCTGCACATCATTGTACTTACAAAACTGTGAGAAGAGACCAAAGTCTCTTCTCTGTTTGAGATGACTGTCCCACTGAGACTACGAGCAATGCGACGGAAATTCTCTGCACTGTACATTTCCTCCTCTTCTGGTCCCCTGCTATGTTCTCTGGTACACATGACCTGCACACAACAACGGACACTTCAGAAAAGGCTCTCCATAATATCAACTCTATATAATAATTATAGAGGAGAGATCAATATAAATCTAATAGACTATACTTCAATGAAATCCCATAACCTTTTTTTTTCTGAAATCCTTCATTCTGTTACTACTTTGAAAATGTAAAGCAAATGGGTCTGTTTGGATCTGGTGATGAAAAATATTATTATTAGACTTTCATGAGATTCATTCTTTTATAAATATCTAAACCCAGGACAAATAGTCTCTACTGGGATGAACCCACCTAAAGGACTGACTGCTGCTATAGGCTTCACTCTCCCTGTAGAGCTAGTCACAGCTGCAGCTGACAGCCATCCTATGATAAAATACTACAGTCTTCTCACAATCAAAAAAAATCTAGGATTATTTGATGAGTGCTGGAAGGTTGTAACCTTGTGTTAGGCAAGGGATATGTTTAATTCTTCTTTCCTTTCCTCTGCTCTATATAGGCAAGACCATTGAAGTTCCTTTTAATGAGTATGGAAATACTACAGGAAACATCATTTTCCCTTTAAAATACTTGTATGTTTTAATGTACATGCACCGATAGGTAACTGCCAGTTATTTAAACAGGTTCTCCTCAGAAAAAAGGAAGAAAATACATCTTCCCCCACTCCGAAATGACCAACTACCAATGGAAGCAAATACCAAATTATTCTCCACTTTCAAAACATGTAACGACACAGTAAAAAAACCGAAACTCAGTGCCCGTACAAGTGGCAACATCAAGAAGCAGTTATCACAAATTGTGATGCAAGGCAGTTCACGTCAGTAAGTTCAGAGATACTAGATCTTAAAGTTTTCAGGGATATATCCCTCAAAGTCAGAATTTAGATAATTTGCTTGCATGCAAGCTGCATGTAGCACAAGTAACTTACTTTTTAGCTAATTAATCTTGAGCTAGACTGCACTTAAAATTCTCCCTAACATTAGTATCAACGGTCCTAGTACCTTTTTCATAAAATATTCCGCTTCTCCTATTGTAAATTCTTTCACTTGCACAGGCCAAGCCCATCTCCCTCTAGCACATCTTAAGTAACAGCGTGTCACCTTGGAGACAGAAGAGACAGTGGATCCACACAGACTGCGCTCGATCTCTGCTGTCGGGGTTTTCGAGAGACCCATGCCAGCCATAGCGTGCAGCTTCCTCACATTCAGGTTCGCAGAGACTGGGAGGGAAAATGCTGTGGTTAAATTCAACGCTTGATAGCGCATTACAGCACATTTCTGACGATCTCACGTCTGACTCCAGCAAAAACAGACCGACTATACACACAGAACAAGAAGCCATCAGAGACCGCTAATAAAATCTGACAGTTATTACATAAGCCAACCCCCAACATTGCAGGGGGAGACAGTCTATCAGGACACTCACGCCTGCTTCATTTGCCCCTTTGCAGGCTTCTGGGGAGCAGTTAATTGAACTATCTAAAAGTTAAATGATTTAACTGCACAGCGGCACTTGTTTGATACAGAGGAGAGAGAGTTTAGGGGGACTAAAGGGACAGCAAATCAGCTCCCAGAAGCAAGTTACTAGAGATAAACAAGACTCATCAGCTTTAAGTTCCCAAAACATTCATCCCCTTGCTCCCACACAGTGCTACACTTTGCCAGTCATTTCTTCTGCTGGGTAAGTAGTTAAAAGTGTTATTGTAAACTAGGATTTCTACAGTTATTTCACTTGAGTGCAATACCCGCTAACCAGTTATGATCCTAAAATTTCTCATGGAATAGACAGGCAGATCAATGGCCTAATAAAAATGGTCACAGGGAATACCTACAAAGGAAGAAAGGTGATATGCTGGTAACAACACCTTTTCTGCACTGAGGTGGCATTTAGAAGATCAGATCTTCACTTTTATCTCTGCTGTACAGCTCCAGTAATGAAACAGAGGCATTTACACCATGATTCTGAACGTAAACGTCTGACAAAACCAGTTGATATGGTGTAGAAAGCTTAAACAGCATTTGCAAAGAATAGGTAATCCAAGTAAAAAAAAAAAAAAAAGAAGAGAGCTTAGACCCAGTTGAGTGATTTTTATCCAGTTCATCACAGTAGATGTGCTTGTTCAAACTTTTTGGGTTTATACAGAATTTACAGAACTTGTGAAGAAACATCTGAAAGTCAAAGAAAACTACAAGTAAAGATCTCAAACACAAACTCCACATAGGAAGAATATCGATATCTCACATCCCTCATATGCAGTAGGAAATAGGAAAGAAAGTGTCAGCTTAAGAAACGTACATTGGATGACAGAACTCTGAAGCACCAGCTAACACTAAAGCACCTGAGCTTTATTCCAGAAAGAGCTTCCAAAATCAGTAAGCTAAGTAGGAACATGCAAGACTTTCTGATTCAAGGCCATGCAAGACAGTATCTGCAAGGCTGTGAGGTCAGATCTTGCCTAACTCTGAAAGAAAACTAAAGGGACAACTAACGGGAAACAGCCACCTTCATATGTGTCACCTCATCTGCCAGTGGGCTGCAAGAGAAGAGAGTTTCACAGCGAAAACTCGAATCATTGAATAAAACCCTGTTCAGCAGTTTACTGCTGTATTGCCTCACAGCCAGGCTTGATTTGTCAGGAATGACAGAGGCTCCACCTCCACGGCTCCAGGGCAGGGGAAAACCTGTCTTGTGTATGTATTGCAATATACCTCACATACATACATGTAAATATATATAAAATTTTGGTACCCATCAAGTTCCAGGCTGCTTTGTATTTAACCAGAAAATCTGTAGCTCTAATGTTAGGAGACATGGTTTATAAAGATGTTTGCTTCCCTTGTGCTAAGCAGAGAATCAAGTTTGCCCTATCTCAGGCAGGAGATTAGACCAGCTTAAGTGTAACCATACTGCTGTCATCAGACTCTTAACTGAATGTCTCCAGCAACAGCTGGATGTTGTCACCAACAGCAACAAATCTGTTTTCTTTCAGCACCAACTATTCCACGAGGTCTCAAGGATCTCAGCGCAGATTGTGTACTCCAAGTGTTGCTTTCACAAGTAGTTTTTCAGTACTTGGCAAAACAGAAGTTCAGCTCTCATAGACCTGGACAAACTTCTAACAGTTATTCCCTTCAGTCGGGTACAAACTAAATTCTCAAATACAATACAATCAATTAATATTCACAAATGTGGAGAGTGCTCACTTCAGGCACAGGAAGAGATTCATAAATTCCAGAGGTGATGTGGGACTCTCCAACAGCAAAATTCAGCAGCCTGGCCTAAGCAGCTAGCTCCCTACTTCAAAACAGTATCAATTATTTCTATGTTATTCTTAACAGATGCTGTTCTCTGTTTGCCAAGATCAACAGGTACTTTGCAGCCTCCCCAGGCAGTGCTATCTCACTGCTGCTCTACCTATACAGTCAGAATGTTTTCAGAGTCCACGACCTGAATCTTTCCGCACTGTGCACAAATTCACGCCTATTTAACTAAATCAACTGGAAAACGTACCTTCACCTACATTGGAATGCAGGTCAACCGAGAAAAACAGCTGCATCATTCTTACCTGATTGGTCAAATGGATACCTAGCACTGTCCTGTCTTCCCAAGAAAGGCCGAGTGGCCTGAGATGCCTGCAGACTAGTCTGATAGAGGGATTCCAGTTCTGAGAGCTCCTGTTCTGTGTCTTGATTCCACTGTGGATGCAGATGCACTGGGATCCTGCTCAAGTCATCTCCAACTGCTCTCAGATCAGAAAGGGGTGGACTCCTCCCAGGCACAGGAAGCCATTCAGTATTCTTATTAGCCTTCTGAGAACTGTAATACCTAGTAACATTATCCACCCAACGGTCCACAGGCATAGAGGCAACCATGCTACTAGTAGCTCCATCATCCACCTGTTTCATTCCTCCATCATGACAGTGCCTTTCCAGGTAGGGTGCAGGATCTGCTATATTCTGTCCACCTCTTCTACACATCTCTTCACCGTGAGAACAAATACTCTTAGAAGCAACATGCTGGGCACTAAAACCCTCCAAAGAAACTACCCCATCCCTAATATCCACAGTTGAGTGCAATTTTTCAGAAGACTGGTTTTTGTTCTCTTGTTTTTGATGAATTAGCGGTCTGTAACCAGAGGATGAAGGGTTGATGAAAGATTTTTGTGTTAACTTTGGAGACTTCTCATCCTGACACACTGTAGCAATCCAGCCTTTTTCATGGGTACCTTTTCTCTGGGAGACTGCATGCATTTTCTGAAACTGCTCTGCCAGGGAACGAACATGTCCCTTTGTACTAAGAGCCTCAGATTTGCAACCTTCTGCTGTGCCATATTCATCCTGCGAGGGTAATAAAATCTCCTGGCTGTTTGCTCTGGAGTACTTATTGGTTTTCTGCAAAGGATCCAAAGAGCACTGCCACGCAGGGGATGAAGTTGCAGGGGTCATCGCACGATAGGCCCCTAAATGATCAATGCTGGGCCGCACTGGTGAGCTTGCAAGTTTGGAGCAAGGACTGTGCTGGCCGTCCTTTTCAGGAGATGCTGCTTGTGGTGGATGTGGACAGGAAAACAGTGTAGGCAAAGACCCAGAGCTTACTGTGTTAGCCTTGGATTTGTACTGAGCTGTGAGAATAGGCGTTATGTTATGAACCTCTTCTAACTTACTGCTACTGCAGCATTCCCTATAGTCTTTTGGCCCTGTGGCTGTGGTGTCAGCAAATTCCACACTACGGTGGGCATCATTCTCAGTTCTTGGAGCCCTCTCTGCCAGCCCTTGCCTATAGGGAAAAGAGGGAACTTGGTCATGAAAATCAGCAGAAGCAGACTGGAAGTTTGGAGAGATCCTGTTGGATGGATTGCTTGCAGAAGGGGGTAAGGAGGAAGACTCTGGATATAATGATGAGTGCAATTCATGGCAGGAAGCAGGTGGGTGGAAGAAAGAACTGGACCCAAATTCCACTTCTTTGTTGGGTTCCAGTGGTACCTCCTGGCTCAGCAGTACTTGGAGCGGGCCAGTCTGTTCACTAAAACACACAGAAGGGTAAATGATTAGCAGCAGTCATCGCTTACGTTTATGCCTAAGGTACAGAACTTGCACTAGGCGACATACACCTCAACATGCTTTTCTTTGCAAACTGCAATCTGATGCAGACTTTGCATTAATTCAGTAGATACACACATGTCAGTTCTTTGTTTCTAAACCCTAATTTCCTACTACAACTGCTCGACTGAATCCATTTCATATTTTTAGGAGTATTTTGCTACAGTTCGGGTCTATAAAAAGCATTCTTGTACAGCACCCTAGGCAGACTGTGTGGGTAGGAATAACTATAAGAATAGTAAAAATAGTATTTATATAAAGCAACTGTTTCCAACATTAACATCTTAGATATTTTGTAAAATACTTTGGACACTTTCATGATCTGAACATGAACTGACAATAATTCCACACAGTCCTTTCTCTCCAGGCAGCTTCATGAAGAATGATTTGACAAATGAAAGGAACAGGCTGAATTTTCTCTCATATCATATTTGTATTCTGATCTTTGAGATATTTGACACATTAAATAAAGCTCAAAACTATTATTTTGTAATGATTTGTATTCTAAGTACACTTCAAAAAATAATTTGTATTCTTTTATGTATCAATGCAAGACAATTATACCCTTGGGTCATACATGTCTGTGCATTTTTCTGCATGTAGTTCGCATTTTAATATGCAGATGGAAAAGCCAGTACCAGGTCCATGTGCCTGTGAGAAAATGACAGGCTACAAACAGCTCCAACAGAAAACTTCAGGAAATTGTAACATTATTGCTTCGTTTCCTCCTTGAGATGTACAGAATGAAAGTTACCACCAAGATCTAATTGATATGTGCAGCAGAATGACCTTGTCTGTGAGTAACTGCAAACTTTGTGCAGTCTACAACTTTATTTATAACAAAGCAAGAGTACATAACTCTGGCTATGAGCAGATTCTTTTGATTGGCTACAATATTAACATTTGGTTGGATATAACTTTTTGCAAAAGTAACGTTCCTTTCACAGCGCAGCAGTAAGCAAGTTCAGCATTAATAAAACTAGTTTAGAAAGCTCCTTCCTTTCATTTTCTTAGAATTTGCAAAAATGCATAACTGGAGCTCTGCATTTCTCCTGCAAAAGATGATACAATGGACCCCTGACTGACAAAAACATCAGCCCTCACTACATATAATTCAGTTACTGCAGGAAAAGAAAAGAACATCATGAACTATCGCCTGACAGGTGTGCAAATTAACCGAGTTTTAGCATATAGTTGTATATGGCATTTAAAAAAAAAAGGAAAAGAAAAAGGATTCTCATCAGAGATTTTATCTAAGCTTCTGATAATTCAACATGTAGGAAAGGGGAGAGGGAAGTAACAGTTCAAGACACTGCCTAGAAATTGGATAGGGATGGTCTAGTGCTAGGAGGGAATGGCATGGGAAGAATGAAGGATTAAGCTGCATGCTAAGGAGGGCAGGAATAAAGGATCAGTTACAGCAGAGAGTTAATTATGCTATAGTTAAAGTCAGTATGGAAGAAAGAATCATGAAGAGACACTGAAGAGGCTACTAAGCCAGGCTACAGGATGCTGGGAAGCACAGAAAGAAAATGAAGAATGATACGGCATCAGGGAGAGCAGTCAAGGTGGGAGGATCTGGATCCAAGAGTGGCATCACTGCACCGCTAGAGAAGCGGACCAGGAAGGAAAGATCAGTGTCCTTGGCACTTCTCAAACTACAACACACTAAACCACAAAAGTTACTATTTCCAACACAAAAGCAGTTAGAGCGAGATTTTCACTGTAGTACACTCTTTTGCTGAGTCCTGAAACAGCTCCTGATCTTAAACAGCTGCACATTTCATCCTAACATATGCCCCCTTTTCAGTCAGGTTATTGTCTATCGGATTCTTCCCTTCGGTGCGTAAACCATCAGCGCTGCCAAGCACTGACTGCTACGATTCTCTACCACAGCTCACATTTTAAACACGCACACATTGAACTGTTCTATAAAGACTGGGTGGGAGGTGAGGGGGGCGGAGAGTAGCTGTCTTATTATAGGATTTAACCTGAAAGAAAGGAATAGGGAGTAGGATTTGGGCTATCCACAGGAACACATATAGTTTGCTAGTGTTTTCCAGACTGCACTGCTCACAGATGCAGCTCAGATCTGGGTCTAGGTGATAGACTTGGACTACCTTGTAGACTGGGCCACGGTGCCGCCCTGTGGTGGGTGGCAGGTTGGCGGCGGCAGCGGCTGCGATGGCTGTTGGTGCTGCATGCGATCCTGGAGGCTCCGGGCTTTTCGGATACTGATTTGCAGCTTCTTATCGACTAGGGCTCTGCTGTGAGTACTAGCGCTGGCATCATGCATGGCAAGTCTTAGTTTAGCTAAAATGCAAAAGAAAACATAGCAGAAAACAAACAGAAAAAAGGAATAAAATTGAAAAAGAAAAAAAAAGGAAAAAAAGATGCAGCAAGAACATAAAACATGGACCATGCAAATATTGCCACAAGAGTTCACAAGGATGCTATCACTTCCAGTAATGCACATTCAGCTTAGCCAGGTGTCCAAACATGTTAATTGAAACTAAACAAAAATAAAGTTAAAAATAAAATAAAAATCCATGTTTTAGCCCAACTTTTCATCCCCTTCACACAGGCTCTTTCCAACCCTACCACGCTGATGCTTCATTCTGTCACCTACCCTTCTCCTGTATCCTCCACACCGAGGACTCCCTTTATGTGCAGGAATAAATACCCAGCTGGGATTTGAGATTCAGCACGTCCCTTGCTGGAATGGAAGTTCACAGGGAAATCACAACAGCTGTGTGCTGTGCCCCTTACTCTGCAGTCCCCAAGAGCTAATTTCTAAATGCGAATGCACAGGAGCTCTCCGCTCTGTCTGCAGCCATTCTATACAGACAGAGAGGAGCATGGGGTGAGACAGCCAGCCAGTCGTAATGGAAAAAGACCAAAACCAAAATGAAATCACATAGCACGCATTCTCAAAGGTCACAATGCATCTAAGCACTTCAGTGTCCTAATGTTTTTTCTTCATGAAGGTCAGGTACAGCATAGCTCATTTCTGTTAATCCGGAGGACTCAAGAGGGGGCTATAATTCTCTTCCTATGCTATACCCTCCATGAGAAACAGGGGAGCTTAATGCCCTTTGAAATTTGGCCTGAGGTCGGGGAGAAATTTTTGAGGACCAAGTGGCAGTAGGAGTTACCTACAAGGTGCTTGCTGAAATGCACCATTTAGCAACAAAAAGGGCATACAAGTGCCCCTCAGTGCTGTTACTGCCACAGCACTGGAGAGAGAACAACATGAAAAAAAAAGATGTAAACATGAAAAGAAAAAAAAAAAAAGGGAGATTAAGAGGAACAAGACTAAAACCCCCAAAAGGGAATGCTTGTATAAAGGAAAGGTTTTATCACCCTGCAAGCACCTAAAGTCCAGCTGGATCCCCTTCTTGCTCCCTGACTATGTAATGTGATTCAATGTTTCAGACTTTTTCTGTATTAGTAAACTGTTGAAAGCGCAATAGCTCAGGCGGTTAGAGTTACTTACATATAGCTTCGTTACAGAGAGCCAAAGCTGCAGCACAATCCCCCTTCTGCTCCTGATTCAGTGACTCTTCAAAGATCGAGTCTGCCTCCTGCATCGACTTCTCAAAGCCATCACTCCTCCCTGCAACGGGGAGCACCCTTCATTTTGGTTTCATTCATCACAAAATCCTCACTTACCCTCATCCCATTCGTGACTGCCAAATTTCTTCCACATATGGAGTCTTGCAGAGGCTGCACATACGCCCAACCGCGTCCCCTAGCCTTCCCTAAGCAGAAGTACAACTTGAGCACCCTGATATGCTTGACATCCACACAGTGCAATAATGTGAATCACATTTTTTCCCTCCAATTTTCTTAATTTGGTAAGAGTTGTACTGGCTTATTGTATTACTTTCCACAGTCCAAATCACTACAGAAGATGGCATAGACATATCACAAAGTCAGTTCAAATGACTTCTGTCCAGTAGTAATTATTCTAAATTTAGAATTAAATCTAGAACAAAATTTATCAGTAAAAGAAATACAGCAGGTCAGGACTTTCCTTGTATGTTAAGTCCCCTGCCAAAAATCATCTGTCTCGTTTTCAGATATCCAATTACTTCCATAGAAAATGGAAACAAAATAGAACAACTGAGATGTCTGGGTAGCAAAACTCAGACTTGAATGGGAGTGTAAATGCCTGCATGAAATATTTCTGCAAACGTGTTCAGTACATACACTCAATTGCTGAAAGAGACATATGGAATATGCAACCCAATGGTCTTGCAGCTATAGGAAGAAAAACACAGGTGTAAGAAGCTGAGATGAAAGGGACAAGCATCAAGAATTCTTTTTGCAATGATTTAGAAAACAGTGCTAGTGAAGAGAAGGATAAATCAACTTTGGACATGGAAGAGGAAGATAAAACACTGACACCAGAACATCCATTTCTGAGAGGAAAAAAATGCCTAATCTGGTGTCAGCTACTAGGCATTATGTATGTCATGCAGTAAAATATACACATTCAAATGAGGCAGGAGAAAACCTAAAATAAAGCTTGATCTTTTGTTTTGTTTAGGTGCATGTGTTGTTTTTTTTTAATTGAATGTCTCTTATTGTGATACAGAACATGAGTATCTTTATCAGCCAACAATGAATTATGCTTTCTCAACTTGCATAACATATGCTATGGCCTGGCCAACTCCCCAACGCCCTCGTGTGCAGATGCAAACACCAACTCTCTTATACCATAAACTTCAAAGAACGTGCATGAAAAACGAGCACTGCAGAGAGAAGTGAGAGTTGTTAGAGCAGTGAGTTAATCAAGCAGCACATTCAGTTTCAAATTCAAGGCTACTGAGGCTTGTAATCAAGGCCAGCATACTAAAGTTAGCTTTCTTTGCATGAATTTAGCAGTTTACTTGAGGGGAAAATGAGTCACAAGCATTCTGCAGTTCTGTGTACAAGCAAGCCTTCCAGGCAGTGGAGCAGTCTGTTAATGTTAAGCTATTACATTTCCGACTGGGGTGGGGAAAGACTTAAAAGGAATAAACAAAAACTTCCCCAGATCTGAAGCTCATGTCTGTAAACTCCTCAAATATTCTACTGAAGTTTTCAGATTAAGCATTATTCTAGTTTATTTTCTTTCTAACATGAAAACATTAAGCAATTTTTGCTTCTACCAACTAAAACAAGAGATCAAAGAGGAGTAACGTCTTGAGGATATGCTATTTTCTTTCAGGCAGGAGGAGAAGATGACAACATCCTCAAGCTCAACAATAGAGGCTTACTTTCCAATTTTTACATCATTACTATGTGTGTTACAAAGTAAACACTAATACTAATAGAAAAAGATACCTGTCTATTCTGGTACATCACTATTTTTCACCTGGGTGCTGGCAGGTCACAGCAGGACTGTGAAGGATAACTAAGTGGCTGAGTGGCAGTCAGTAAAAATGATAAAAACATCCCCACAGTCAGACATTCTCAGAGCGATCCTATTTTTCAGCTGCCATTGGCACAGTGATGCTCTGGCTGCTGAGCAGTTGGCCCAGCTGTAGGCTGCCGAGTGCTGGCTCTGTTGTCCCCTGAGCTGGTGTCGCTGTGGGGTGCCTCTCTCACAGAATTGTTGAGGCTGGAAAATTTTTGAGGCTCCTTCCTCTCTGTTCTGTAGCAGCAAACCAGTACCTCAACGTTTACCTGTAACAGGTTTGAGCAAGGCAGCATGGCGATGTCACAAGGCCTGGTGACACAAGAGGCCACAGTGGGTTTGCCCCGATCATGCAAGCACTTGTAGGAGCAAAGCCCAGGTGTTCACTACACCTTCCTTGGCTCTGCTGACCCACCACCAACCCCCCAGTTAAATGCTCTGCCAGACTTCACTCTCAACTGAGTCAGTGCACCTCATTGCACCTTCTCTGACTCCTCTGACTGGCTGAGGGAGATTCAGGGCTAAAACAGAGGTGCTACATCTGAAACCTGCCAGCGAGTTCCCCCTGCTGCAGCTCCATCCTTCCAATTAAACCTCTCCTGCTACCAGAGGCCCTGTCAGAAACATGAGGAGTCATGGAAAAGACAATCAAACTTGGTGCTTAGCTTTTTCTCTTTTTTTTTAAATTCTTTTTTTTTTTCCTTAGAAAAGATACGTAAGATAAACCCAGCTCAGATTTTCGATTAGATCCACTTAAGTCTGTCACAGTACTTGTTCCCACGCCTGTGCTGTGGCTGAACAGCCGGGCAAAAAGAGCAGAAAGTGCAAGGGCAGGAACAAGCAGAATTGCTTAGGGCAGGGATGCTACCAGAAACAATCAGAAACCAAACAATGGCCTAAATGAATAAACTGTGCTGTGGGTGGACCTGAGGCATCTGAAAGCTACAAACAGCTCAGCTCATTCCAGGATGTTGGTTGAAGTCTCATAGTGAAATCTACATATCAATACTAGTGATGGCACACATCACCATAAAAATGCAAAGGTGCAAATATACTAGAAACATCTCAGTATTACTTTGTTGTCTCATTTAAGAAGAAATTCAGTCAAAATACCAAACACGATTTCTCTGTGGCCTGAAGTTTCACTAACTGAAGGTATAAAATTGTAACGGAAGGGGGAGAGAAAGAGAGAGACTTACAATAAGAAATTAAGTTCGAAGGTTTACAAAACTTCATCATTACAGTCTTGAAAAATATACTGCATTCAAAGAGTTACCCTGATTCTGCAGTTCATCTAGATCCATGAACCTGCTAGGACGGGGATTAAAGCCCATTGCTGCCTCCATTTCCTTTTCTCTTTTTCTTCGTAATTCTTGTTCATGTGCTCTCCTTGCCACCTCCTCTTGCAGTTCATCCAGTTCACTCTTTAAAGGGACAAATATCTCCCCACCTTCAAAAAAAAAAAAAACAAAGTAAAATACTTTTTGATAGTAAAATCTCTTAAAGTATCCCTTAAAAGACAAAGGCATGTTAATGGAGAATAAAGTGGTGGAAAATAACAGACTGACCAAGTGAAGAGCGCCAAATTTTGGAAATTTTGCTTAAATTTTACTTTTAAAACCCTTCCCAAGCCATTTGGTTTCCAACTGCCCTCCCTGTGTCAGTGACTGGCAGAAATGCTGCAGTACTGCTTCAAGTTCCTCTGCAGTACAGCTCGTCCCTAGATTCACTGATCCAAGAAACAGTAAATGGAAGAGAGAATCACTGGAAGAGAAAACCCTAAGCTGATGCTGAAATCTTGAGGCTTCTTACTGTGCTTATACTTTGTAAATAATGCTACGTCAAATGAGCCATATCATTAGAAGTAAAATGGATTACAACTGAGATGCTTTTCATCTAAGCACATTAGCAGATGAAAATTATGAAAATGGAAGGAAAATAAAGTATATCAATATTCTAGTCAACATCAGAAATCAATAAGTCATCATTCTCACTTCAACCAGGACTCATACTCAAAAAAGCATCTCCTCTCTTCCCTTCTCCTTTCCCACACATTCTCTGGAATAAAGCGTTTGCCCAGAGCAATACATAATCAGAACGCATACCCGCAGAAAAGCTTAACCTTAGCCCAAACATCTTGTAAATATCCATTCTCCTTTTCTGACAATTCAGAATTTTGCATAGCATTATGACCTTGTTTTCAGTACTCGTCAATCCTAGTAAGTTAATATAAGTTATCCTTGGACATAACACTGAATTATGGGAAAGAACAGGAAAAAGCTTTATCAAAGTCAAAACTCAAAATGCCAGAGCAATATCATCAAAGGTATATCTCAACAAAGCTTTCTGCAGACCCCTTTGGTAAATCTTGTAACTTCCATCTTGTAAAACTGTGTTATGTTCCTCAATGTTTCTCTTTCCTTTCCTCATAATTTCACCGTAAAGATAAACATCCAGAACATAAAGAACAATTCCAACACAATTTACCTTGCAAAACCACTGCTACCAAGGAAGCGTGCCTTACCGTTTCCAAGGGTGTGGGGGCTGTTTGCCCAGCTCCCAGCTGATGAAGAGGACTCCACTTCCAAGATGCTGCTACTGTGAGACTTCGGGATGTTACGCCAGGCGGGAACCAAGCCACCCGCTCGCTTCATATGAACATCCCTCCAAGAGAGTAATTGTAATTTACCATTTTACTCATCTCTCCAGAAGCGATATCTACCCTTTTTTAAAATCATCACATAAACATTTGCATTTTAATTTCATTACCAAAAACCCAACAGTATACCATAAGAAAATCTTGAGAGAAAGTTAACAAGGGGAAGGACAATATTCCTATTTTCCTCCATAAGAGCATGCAATGTATATCAAAACCATAGTCTGATAGCTGTTCTCAGCAGATTTTTACAGCTGAAATTTTTACAGCTACTGTTCTGGCCATAAAGAGTCTCAGCTTGTGACTGCCCGATGCTTCCCAAGTCAAGGAGAGAAACACACTGTGCTGCCCATTTATTTTTGCATATAAGTATTTAGGTGTTTTCAAAGACTTCAGTGAATCCCTCAAATAGAAAATGCCAAAGATTTCTATGCAAGATTATTAATTTCTCATTTGGTATAAGGCTTCTATCAAGAAATGGTTTAATGGAAACAAAAAGGCCTATGAGCCATTCAAATGAAAAGCACAAAGTTTGACATTTAGTCTGTGATTTAAAAGCTCAGCTGAAGCGTATGACTATTTCAGATGCATTAGTTCAGTCAACATTTCTCATTCAATGGAACGTCGTTTCTTTTCCTTCTCATTAGAAGTACGCTATCAATATACTGACAAGAAAAGGGATCAAACTAACTCAGATTCCTGTTTCCCTTCTATTTCTCCCCTGCCCCAATAAATCTCTATTAAAAGCTAGGAGCAGCTTAGCTTTTTTATTTTTTTAAATGTTCTATGCCATTATGCAACTACAAATAAGAAACCAAGACCTCAATCACTCCAAAAATGGAATTTGTTGAAATCTACCTGTGGGTGCTTGAGCTCTCAGACAAGGGCATGTCCAGGCTAACTGGGCTGTTGCTGTTGCGTTCACTGCTTTCATACCCAGACTCCATCCTCTGTATTAGGTGAGGATGCTGATCCACCATATGATACTGCGTGCCCCGGCCTAGCACGCCACGCTTGTATCTGACATTGGACTGGCTCGATCTTGTTTCTTGAACAGTGTGTTCCTTCACCTCGTTCTCAATAAGCTCTTTGCCTGTCAAGACAAAAAAAAAAAACAACCTTACTGGAAGATTCAAGCTTCAATACCAGCAAATGATCTATACGGATTAGTTTCACAATGATGCTTATACCAGAAGAGCTGCTGTTAATTTAGTGTAAAACTAGCAATATTAAGCAAAAAAATCCACCCAATACTTTTTCAGCATTCCTAGCAACATTAAGCAATAATTCATTCAACAAATTTATTTTTTAATCTCTTTGTCTCCATAAGCATTTGTGTTTGTACATGATCATACTACAGTATACCCAACTGTATTTCCAGTTTATATTTGTTATTGTACTCTGTTCTATCTACTTCAGATGCTGCATTTTTTACATCGTTTACTTTTGCCATTTATGATTTGATGAGGCTTATATAACATTATTTCACAGAGGACAGGAAAACTTTTTCTTTTTTCAATTCTTCCTTACTGATTTCACTGTGTCTTCCCATTTGCCTCTTGTTTGCTCCCCTTGTTTCCTTCCCTGAAGCTGTGTTCTCCCTTCACACCTTCTCTACACATATTTCTTTACACATCTCAATTCTTTTCAACATTTAGCTCCTTCGAGTTGGTATCACCTGTTCCTTCCCCTCCTTAGGCCCCCAAATTTCTGCAACAGCATCTTCACTAATCACAACTCTAATGCCAGTAAGACAAAGCTCTTCCTTGTCATCCACACAGTCTGTGATGAGAGCACAGCAGCTCCAGTAGCATACCAGCATACACCCCAGAAACTCATAAACACCTGCTCTCTACACACTTCACAGTTCCAGGAGTATTCCCTCCTCTTGATGGGGGGGAAATAACTATAACATGCATTTGCAAACTGGGGAAAAGGGAGCAGGGAGCTGGAACAGGAGCAACAAAAGATACCTCAGGTTGTTTCATAACAAATTTTATTACCTTCAAAACCAGCAAAGCTGAGGACAAGGTTTCTATGCAGAAGTTGCACAGCTGCTATGGTGGAAAATGGTCCCAGATAAATCATTACTGGCTGCCAGACTCTTCTCCTCTCAAGAACTCAACACTGGTACACAAGCTACTCACCACACCACAGTCTGAGCCACCATGTAAAAATACCATGACAAGCCAGAGAAAAAAAACACACCAATACAAAAGGCCATTCCAAGGGATGAACTTACTGATTCTTAGGAATCTAGCTCTGTGTCCATTTAAGCAGCGCAGATGGTCATGTTTCCCTTATTATTTCCCTAAGTGTGAAATTTAGCACACAGAAAGCAAACAGAAGTATCACACACACAGTAAGAATACTCAGGCAGAAACTAACTTTCAAAGATATGACTCACCACTGAACTAAATGCCACATTTAAAATTCTACTTTCCTACTTTACTTAAACAAAACTGGATAGCGGAATATTTTAAACTCCACACATTCTGAAATAAATCTTTCTTCTCTTACCTCCTTCTTCAGAGAAAGGGCTAAGCTGAGTGTAGCCACAGTGTTTCCTCTTGTCTTTATTGAAGATGCTGTCTATGTTCAGAGACTCTCTTTTGGGTCTCCAGGTTGGCCGGTATCTGCTAGATGAACTGGATTTAGACTCACTACTGGTACTCTCCACTTCCCAGTCTCGAGAGTGTGCAGACAGGCCTTTTGAGGGTCGTGTTTCTGCCTGATCCACAATACTCCCTCCGCGAGGGGAACTCTGGATGGTTTGAGAAATCTGCTGAGGTCTGCTGTGGATCATATTGCTCACTGTTTCTTTAAATTCCCTCAGCCTGCTTGTGCTGCTGGATGGTTTGGGGGCAGTTCTGGGGGCTTGTTTCTCCTTCAAGGTTTCTCCTGCAGTTTATAAAGACAACAAAAGACACAAAAATAAGCTCAAATTAAAGTATTTGCAGCATCTTCATACAGACTTTGAGAAGCAAGGAACAAATAAATTAAAAAATGCAACGAAATAATAAAAAAAGCCCCAACCAACGCCATTCAAACAAAAAAAGAAAACCAAAACCACAAAGACAGGAGAAAAGACAGATAGAGATGGAAGAAACAGTGAGGGAAATGCATGTACACACTGAGGATCTTTAAAACGTGCAGAAAGAAGATATTGATACTTAAAATAAGGTCTCTTGCCTTCGCTATGGTATCCTGATGACTGAGCCTCATCTTTTCGCCGAGACCTGCTAGAACTCCTCTTGCGGTCTGCCAGCGAGCCCTTTTTGGAAACATGCCTCTGATTGCACTCACTGTCAGTCAGGTGCCCTGGAAGGACAGAAGAACACAGCAGAGATGACAAGAGCTGTCGGGCCAAGTGTTCTGTGCCCTAAGGGCAGCAGGGTGCACCTGCTCCTTAGGAGCTACAGATGCTCCAACACTAAGTGTCAGGTTTGGCTAAGTTTTTGTATCCAAAAGGTTTTGGTTTTGTCTTGGGGAGGGTGTTCCATTTTTAAGGTCATAAAAAAGCAATACAGCCCCTCCGAGTAGTCTGGTTAATGAGAGCTCATCCACAGGAGAGGAAAAAGGTGATTCTGCCTTGTCTTCTACTAGTCTAAGGACACTGTTTTCTTGCCGAATACTTTTTCAGTTTTAACGGCCATGAACACAAAACTCCTGAGGACAGCTTGCTTGACATTACTCTGTTCAATGAAGACTGAAACACATGAATGAGTTGCCACGTAATAATAAATTACTGCACATCATCAGCTGCTCTGCATTAACTACCCATCTGCACTCTCTGCCTGCAGCAAATATTAAGTAATCCGAGTTAGCTTTGTCTACAGTGAAGAAGCCTCATTTGGCTCTCAAGGGCTAAGCCAGCTAATTCACATCTGCCACAAGCTAAGAGCACACACACAAACCATCAGCATGGATCAGACGACACCACAACATTCCCTTGCTACAGCTCATGTGTCTGAGCACTAATGTGTTCTCTCACATACAATCTATTCCCCGCTTCCTCTTAATTCACGTTTGCTGTGAGTATTTGACATCACAAGTTTTACATATAGCCTTCGCTTGATTTTATGGTTTTCACACAGTCACGCTCCTAAACCTGCAAGCACAAACACACATGGCTTTACTCACGTGAGTAGTCCCAAGCAGAGATGCAGGATAAGAAGGGAATTTATGAATAAGCTACAAAAACTTTTCTCTAGCCTTTATATCATCAGCTTTCACCTTGCATAGGATGACAGGAAAGGAAAATCTCTACTACCCAATAGTGGATTAACAGCTCCCAGACTACATAATTGGCTGTTCAGAGCCTTCTCCTTTTCTCTAGGAATTAACATAAAAATCAACAACATTTAAAGTAGAGTTTACACATAAGACTGTACCTTCAACAGCTGAAAAAATAATGCACTTCAACTACAATTGCTACAAAGATACTACAATAAATGAGTGGGAAGGAATCCAAACAGCAAAAAAGCAAGCTACACAAGACTCGCATTTCTATTCATTTACAAAGTGCAGAGTGATCTTGCAGCCAAATTCTTTAGAAACAAGCAGATTTTAAAAAAGAAGAGAAATTAAGGAAGTAGGAGAGAAACGTTGGCAGTAAAGACAGAAGACGTGCAGCATGTAGGTAATTGAGCATGAGTCAGTGCTTTGGGAGAATTTTTTGTTCCTTCACAGCGTGGACTGTCACACATCTTTTAGGAACCAAAAGAACAGGATTATCTGATATCTTGTAGCAGCATCCCTCAAGATAGAAGTGGCTCATCTTTCATTTCACAGTGTGCAACTTGGCTAGTTAAACATTTTTCCCCACGGTTCTTCCAACTCGATAGGGAGTGCTTGGTTAGCATCCTTCTATTCAAAGATACTTATTGCTGCCGGAGTTAGCTCAGGATCTGCACAGACTGATTAAAGACCTACTTAGCCTTGCAGAATGAAGGCTGCTAGCTTTGCATAAATATTTTCTCCTCCTTTCATAAATCGCAAATTTTGTCTTATTGTCACTGGGTATTTAACAGTTGCAGAGGACATGCCAAGAATCAAAAGTGTGCGGAACACAGGCTTTGTTGTCTTTACTGGTATCCTCTGGAACAAAGACTGAATCCAACATAATGCATAAATATAAGAATTACAATCCCAAGAATATTAGCTAGCACTTTACACTTTTTTTTTTAATTCACTAAAATAACAAGCCAGGATTTCTGTCTGAGTGCCCAATCACATGCTTAAAAGGTGTCCCTTGCTGAATGCATCACTGAAATATGTCATGTTCCAGAGGTGGGATGGCTTCATACGCAAACAGTGATATTCAAAGAAAATTTTGGGTTTGTAGGGGTTGTGTGCATGTCTAAGAACATGTTAGAGAAGAGAAAGAAATCAAACAGGCGAAGACAGAACGCGCTCTACTCCCTCCCACTGAAATCTCAGTTGCATGAACAGGGCAGCCAGAATACGCACATGTTTCTCAGCAGCACAGGTTGGCAGAGGCAAGAGAGGGCTTATGCAGCCACTCTTCATGCCCCCACGCTGAAGTACCCGGGTGCCTGAGGTCATACGACCCAGTGGTGGTCCTTCCCCGGAGGAATCCAGAATTTTCTAGGCTGGAGGAGTGGGCAAGTGGCCATTAAATGAAGAATCCTGCTCTCGCCCAGAACGATTCAGTTGACAGGTCAATGTGGATGGCTTCTTTATAGCCCCACGATCAGCATTGGATGATTGAACAGTTGTATGAGTTGGCAGGCTGACTTTTTTGGAAAGGTTTTGGGTAGGTAAAAAAAAAGGGGGAAATGCCCAGACAGGTGGCTAGCTAAGGGGACAGACTGGCTATAGCTAAGGCTGCATGAGGAAAGATGAGGACAACTGATTTTGGGTGGAGAGAGACAGGCTAAGCTGAAGGGAATAACATGGGATAGATTCAGTAGGAGAAGAAAGAAAAAGAAAAGGACAAAGTCACTAAAAATGACAGAACAAAAGGTTACATGCTGAACTTCATGCTTCTATGTTTGCAACCATCCCTCTACACTCCCTTTTCTGCTGACTTCCGCATGGCAGATCTTGCAGGGAGGAATGTGATCCTATAAACACTGTGCCATTTTTGCAGACTATACAAATATTTTGCTAGCATTTGCAATTCCGTCTTCATACTCTAAAATCAACACGAATTTTGTTCCTTCATCACTCAAACTCTGCTCCAGCTTTCTCTTCTTTCTCATATTCTACCTTAACTAAGTATTTGTTAAAACATTAAAAGTAATGTCAGGCTGTCTAAAACAATGTAGTACAATTACTCAGACACCTGACGAAGTCTCCAAAAGTACTAAAGAAAACCAATTTCAAACACTTTCTCCAGATTTTGATATGAGAAATGCTTGCATGATAAATGGTTTCAAATTAACCAAATATGCATATCGTCCCAATACAAGGGAACAATTATTTTGCAACTAAAAGGACAAAGTAGTACAATAGCTGTTGACACTCTGGTGCAACAAACAATTGCTCTTACGCCTTCTTCGGAAGTCTATTTGAGGCACAATAAAGTAACTTTTTAAACAAGACTTAGCAGATCGTATTTCTGATGCTCAAGAAGTCTGACCTTAACCCACGTGCTACTTTTTCAAATGCAATGTCAGAAGTTACTGTATGCAAAAGCAGGCTGACTAGGGTCACTGGGCACAAATAATAGAGATGTGAGCCTTCGGACTTCTAGTTAACCTGTTTTCAACCAACAAGTGTTCAGACAGTATTCAGCTGGCCAAAGGAACATTCATACAGATTGTCTTCTCACTGCAGATTCTCACTTAACTTGCTTCCATGGCACAGGCAGGAAATCATCTTATGCTCCTCCCTGGTGCAGAAAATACTTGCAGCACCCACTGACACAGAAAGTCCTTAGTGCCCAAGCATGAGAGTTTCTGGTGATGAAAGTGCATTTCCCAAACACCAGCAACTCCTGCAGTGAAGTAACTGCCCGTAGACAAGTAAGTAGCGGCACACAACACTTACCAAACTGTACTTAACTGCACTCCACGGACTCCAACATACAACAAAGAGCAGGCAGGATTGCAGATAATGGAAAACACATCTCTAAATGTATGTCTGGCTACATACAAATCTACAAGTGCCAATGAGACATTTAAAATTATGCTTTTTTTTGAGAATGCCTACAGTTCTTCACAAATTAAAAAGGATAACTAAACACTGTTCACTATTCTACTCTAAATTGGATTCCAGCAAAAAAAAATATTTATACACACTGCAGTAATATTTAATGCCAATGATCACACAGATATAATAGTATCTGCTACCTGTGTCCCTGCTGCTTTGCGAAGCCGCATCATTTTCCACATTGTAGATGACTGTCCCTTGCGAGTCAGAGGAGAAGTGACTGACCACAGACTCATGGTGTGCCTGTTTGTAAGGACAGCTGTCCGTAGAGGAATCTGTCCTGGTATCACTGGAGATGGAAGGTTCTCTCCCTAGGGAAGGAAGCAATGTCAAATTTCAGTCTTCCGGGGCTATTATACAAGTCAGGAGAAGCTAAAAGAAAGAAGATGGAGGAGATCACACAGAAGTTAAGAGAAAAACATAGTACCAAACATGCAAACTCAGATTCAAGGACACCAGAGCTTATGGGAAAGGTCCTCTCCTTTGGAGGGAGAATGTCATTGCTCCCACAAACCTTTGTTACCTTCTCTTTGACAACTCCAAATTTGTCAAATATTTGTATTACATAAAATTAAACTACATCCATTGGACTAAAAGTACAAATTAGTACCACACTGAAATTATTTTTTCATTAACTTTCAACACTGTCAAGTGTAATTAAAATATGAAATGTGCTGCTTCAGCGGAAGTCAAAGTTAAAAAAAATAGTCAAGTACAAAATATTAATACGGGTAATAAGACCATGAGTTACAATAATCAACACTTTTCATCTATTATGAATCAAAAGCTTTCTAGTAAAACTCTATAGTGAAATTGTATTATCTAAGGCAAAGTAATCTGCTCCTTCTCAAGGAGCTAGCATTGACCCCCTGCACAAGTGGGATACCAAAAAGGATGAAGCACCAAGATTAAACTTCATTACAGCAATTTCTAAACTCATTAAAAGAGGAGAAAAAGATGACCTCCTCCCATCACTTTCAGTATACAGAAGTAAAAATCCAAACAGTTTGAAGACTATTGGCGTTTTGATTTATGTGATTTATACACTTCTTAATATACAGGATATTAATTTCAGACTAATTTCTCAGTGAAGAAATTAAAGAAGAAATAACACATTAAAAAAGAAAGTAATTCTTGTGTTTAACCACAAACGCTCAGCCTGAGATCACTTCACATTTTCGGTGAGAGCAAGTCCTGCAGTTCATGTCCTATTTAAGGATGTCTAAAAACCCTTCAAGTCAGAAAGTTTCTCCCATCTCATTATTGGTTAAAAATCTTATTGGTCTAAAGAAATATAGACTACAGCTGTTAATGGAGATGACAGTCACAGAAAGAAAGGTAAACTTAGGCAATAGGAATCAGTGCTGTGGAAGCAAATGCTAAAAAACAATTTGCAAACTGAAGTCTTTATTCAACAGAAAATCAAAACCATTAAGAGTAGTTTGCACTTAGCTTCACAATATTTTGTACCAGCACCTTTGACTGACAATCTTTCTTCCATAATTGGTAGTATCAGATCTTGACGTGATTACATGCATTTGCCAGATTCCCTCGACAAAATTTCAGGTACAAGATTGTGAAAAACAACTTATGCTTAAGTAATCTCATATCCAGGAACACTGAGAAATCCAGAAGAAGCTGTGGTTACACTCAGTGAGAGTCAAAAAAGCCATTCTGAAAACTCTGGGTATCAAGAAGGCTAGAAAATAATTCACTTGTATTTGACAAGAATGTGTTGGGTATGATTTCTCCTGGCACTTCAACCTACAGCATCTCACAAATTCTCTCAAAACCTTGGTATTAATGTTGAACACTGCAGACTACAGGAGTAAGCCCTGAGGACTCACCAAGTGTTTTCAGATTGAAAGAGCCGGTTACTCACTATAGCACTCTGGATTTTAACTGAAAGGAAACACCTTTTTATAAATGTATTTTTGTATGCAGCTTCCTGAAGTCATCTTAGAACACAATAATATAGATACTGCAGAAACAACGAGCCGAAGGGCTATCTATGTATTTCCTGGAAATCAACAAGCAGAACCACAAGGCAAATTTACAGTGTACATTGACTCGAATCTTGCAGAAGTGCTCACAACTGATATTTAGAAGACCCTCCTATCCCTCCTCCAGACTTTCCATGTTTCCTGGAACAGGAAGATAGGTTTATAAATAACAAGGCATCTTGTCAAGTGAGAATTGAAGGTCATCTTACCAGTGGTTTTATTTGCACTTATTTTTAAGAGGAGTTGTAGATTTATTTAATTACTGGGAGACTGTCAACACATAAATAAGGAGACAGCAGATGTTCTCCACAGATTCACTGACCAGGAATCATAAAGTTATCTATTGGCCAGGAAAATCATAAAGTATTCTTGGAACTATAGTTGTATAAATAGGCTAAAATCCTGACAGAAAAGTTGAACATTTCTGATTTTAGTCTTGCCTTGCTGTTCCTGGCAACCTATAAACCCATCTCTAATTCAGGATGCAAGCATCCAAAAATAGAAACGATCTTCTTTTGCAGAACTGTTAGAATATAAAGTGAGACTCGGTTTTTATTTTCACTCTATCTAGATTGCAATTGCCTATCTTTCTCAGAATTTCCCTACTCCTCTTTAAATGAGGCTTCAATCCCCAATGGTGTGCCTAAATGTCTGTAATTATCCAGAACTTCAGTAAACCAACAGCATGTCCAGAACACCACTGATATCTTGAGCAGACCAAGTTCTAATCTCTGAAGCATCTTATTTGGATATACCTTTCTAATTCAATGGACTACCATTAATACAAAGAATTCAGGAAGCAGCAATGTCTTGAAGGGCTCTGAGATGTTAAGTGCTACATATCTGCACCCGTAGATCTTCTCTGATGCAAAAAAGAGCCAAGAAAAATTAAGAAGTAAACATGATCTACATGATTATTAAGCTTTTGCCAATCCCTTCCCCTCTCACTTTGCTTATCTGAGTAAAAGACAAGCCAAGGGATGAAGCTAAGCTGCCCTGACATCTCCTCCTTCTTTTTTTTTTTTAATACAGTGGTATTTCTTCCCCTTTCCTCCACATCCCTTCACCATCCTAGCAAAGGACTAATTTCTGACCTTTCCCTAATATTTCTTTTCCCTAACTTCGCTCCTGAGTTTAATTCTGTAGCTTCCTTTAACTTTCTGTGTTCATGCATGTCTGGTCTTGTTCTCTTCCTGTTAAAACTCCTGATGGATTTATGAACTCAATCATTTAAGTCATGAATTACTGCTCCTCTCTATGTCCAATGCCACGATAGGCCCTTCATGCTTCTCCCCTTCACACCCCCAGCTTCTCTCTCCAAACCTTTTTGGAAAAGATTACTACTTAAAGAATCACCTGAGTCTTGGACTGAGAGAGAGTTTTAACAGTGAAACACTGGAAGTCCCTTTCAGAATCAGCTTTCACAAGAAGGACCCTTGCTAACAAAAACACACCCAAAAATAGAAGAAAAACTTCTCCCACGCCGCATAAAGGTATAAGGAATATAGTCCAGACCGCTCACCAGAGTCTTCACTGTCATAGCAAGTCCTGCTATATTGCTGTAAATCCACTTGAGGGGGCAAGTCTTGTGTTGACACTGGAGTTCCTCTTGGATCTGCATACAGCAGCAGCAAAGGCTGATAGTGACCCTTAATGCACTTTGTCACAACATCCTTCCATTTGGGACCAATCTGAATTAACAACAACAAAAAAAAATGCACAAATAAGGTTTTCTGTCATCATTCTCTAAAATACAGTCTCTTTTTTTACCCCCTCATACTCCTTTTAGAGTTTGGTTTTCCACCGACATTCTTTAACTCCTTCTATATCCAACACTGAACTGGGCTCACCAAGAAAGCTCTGAAACCAACTGAAATTGAGGTATTCATCATCTCATGGCTAAACAAATTACAACTCCTGCTAAAAATATGACTATAAAAATAGAACTTCCCTTTCAGAGTTTTTTTCCATAAAAACCTTTTCATCCTCTGAAATGTTCTAACATTTTATCAGTCAAAGAAAAAAAAAAGCATTTCTTAACAAAATTTCTTCACCCATCAATCAGCATAAACAAAACGAACAATAAAAGACATCAACAGCATGACAGTAAATTCAAGTCAAAGCTAACCACTTTGGGGTGTGAATATTTCTGCTGTCTCAGAACCTCTGCAAGCATTTTGATGGGCCAGACAATAATTCATAGGTAGTTAAGTCAAAAAATCTTCCCCAACAGAAGTATTCTTCCAAAGCACTGCAGTACCTATTCTTGGCAAAGTTTTGCTGCAGAGACATGTGACTGTGAACAAATGCAGGGTTAGAGCTTTCCCTTTGAGACTGCTTGGCATGACTACAGGAGAAAATTTTCCTCTCTCACCTTTGTGCTTCCATGACTAGAAGGAATAAAAGGAGAGTGGTGTGAAACAATGCCAAACACACTAATGGGATGTAGTAACAGTGTTCCAAGATCCCAGCACTGGTACCTTAAATGTCAAAGATCTCGTGCTTGGTGAAAAGGAGGGAAAAAAACCACTAACAAAAGAAGGAGAAAATTTGTTGTTGGCAGCAACAACCAGGGAAGACTGGCATCTAGATACTTCGACAAAGAATCTAAAACAGTAGGCACTAGATAGCTACACCGCTTGTCAGCAGAGAAAAGAATCATAGGATAGCTGTGCACACAAGCAAACTGCGGGTTTTCAAAGAACAGCACAAAAGCACGACTGGCAGGCAACAGAAGAGGACTGAGAACAGGCCTTCCGAGATTTCTCATATGCTCTTTTCTGAGAATGCTTTACTCTGCTCAGAAATAGGAGCAACAGAGTTATGGATCTTGAGTGGAAAACCAGCCAAAATTTCTCGAAATCTGTAGAAAACAGTATGGATCTACACATAAGTAGCTAACAAATTTCTAACAGATTACTTTTCTAAACATTATTTTCTTACCTCTTTGACATGAGCATCATCAAAGTACATCCACTTGCGGATTTTAGTTTGGAAGAAGAAGGTAGAATAGTGTTTTCCGTAGTAACAGATCATTCCCACCAAATATAGCTCTGAGTGTTTTGCTCTGTCATCGGTTACTCTGAAAAAGAGCTTCAAGAAGGGAGGTAAGAAAAATGACAGGAGAAATTAGTAAAATGACTAGAATTTTAGATACTGCTTTATGTTTGAAGACCTCAAACTATTACAGTGAGGTGTCAGGTTTTTATTTCAAAAGACAGAGAAAACAAGGCAATTAATACTTAAGTAATTAAACAATATTTAAACAAATCAAGTGATGCAGACCAAGAACAGCCTCCTACCACCTCACCAGATGCTCAAGAATCAAGCAGTCTTGGGGACTGTGGCTGTACTTTAAGGAAGACATTTACAACAATGATATAACATATTCTCAGAATTTGAAGTGTTGTTCTAGTCTGAAAATCGGTATTCTCTGTGTCATGTTTGTTGACTATATCAAGTACTGTTTAAAACATTAATTTCTCTTCGCTTTGTAGAAACAAAGCACTTCTGACAGTGAACAGCTGGCGTTTATTCTGACAAGCAAAGACAAATTTATGACAACATCACATAAAAAAATATGAACTGAAGACATTAGTAGGCTGAAAGAATTCAACACAGAAAAAAACTGGGTTTTTGATTATTTAATTGACCTTGTTTTATTTAAAAATATGTAGAATTCATTTTTTAGTGCATTACTGCTTTACTATGCAAGGACCACATTGTTTCATAATCATATTTTCATTAATTCACACTACTTTTGGTACACTGTGTGTTTGCCAATTTTATATATATATATATATATATGTGTGTGTGTGTGTATGCATATACATATATTGATTATTTTAATGTAATACCTCATACAATAAGACATAGTTTGCTATACCATTAATTCAGCTCTAAAACATCAGCTAATTTATAATAAGTGAATCCTCTAAGGAACAAACCTCCAGATCCCAAACACTATTTAATTTAATCTATCATTCAATCACACAGTGCCAGACACCACCTCTCAGAGACTTCTCGGTTATAAATAATTCTTAAGTGTTACGACCACACACTTCAACGAAGAGAGGATTGAAAGAAGTTTAAGCAACCCCAGACTACATTTTGTTTTCAAAAGAAATAGAAATGAACCTCTGTTCTTCAAAACGGCTCAACATGACCCGTCAGTGTGCACTTGCAGCCCAGAAAGCCAATCGTGTCCTGGGCTGCATCAAGAGGTGTGTGGCCAGCAGGTCGAGGGAGGTGATTCTCCCGCTCTGCTCCACTCTCATGAGACCCTCACTCTCGTGAGACTCCAGTTCTGGAGCGCACAGCACAAGAAAGAGGTGGACGTGCTGGAGTGTGTCCAGAGAAGGGCCACGAGGATGATTAGAGCGCTGGAGCACCTCTCCTATGAAGACAGACCGAGAGAGTTGGGGCTGTTCAGTCTGTAGAAAAGAAGGCTTTGAGGAGACCTTATTGTGACTTTCCAGTATCTTAAGGGGGCCTACAAGAAAGCTGGTGAGGGGCTTTTTAGGATGTTGGGTAGTGATAGGACGAGAGGCAATGGTTTTAAACTCAATCAAGGTAGATTTAGGTTAGATGTTGGGAAGAAGTTCTTCCCCATGAGGGTGGTGAGACACTGGAAGAGGTTGCCCAGAGAGGTGGTGGAAGCCTCATCCCTGGAAGTTTTTAAGGCCAGGTTGGATGGGGCTCTGAGAAGCCTGATCTAGTGGGAGGTGTCTCTGCCCATGACAGAGGGGTTGGAACTAGATGATCTTTAAGGTCGCTTCCAACCCTGACAATTCTATGAGTCTAAAATGCAAGAGTACATAGGTATTCTCATAGAAACAGCACAAGTCCCAATCCAAAATTTCCATGCACTTGAAAGTATTTTTTTTAATTCCGGCAAGCTTCGTCTTCCTGAGTAATTTTTAATTTTCAGTCATTTCAGAAATTTCAGAATATCCAATGACACTAGTACTTTCACAGGTTTTTGTGAAGCATTCAGAAACAGGTCAGCTCCTTAGCTCTGCCCTCTATTCCTCTATTTATGGACACCAACAAGCTAAAGGTGGCTACTTTTAATTTTTCTCTATCTGCTACTATAGGCTACCATGAGAAAGACTGTGTTTGCAGGTAGTGTCAAAATACAAAACAACTCACATCTCCCAGTTTAAGGCAAGTGCCCAGACTGTGAATCACATCCTCAGCGAGATCAGAGTGGTCCGAGTCCCAAACCAAGCCGATGGTAATGATCTGTGGAGAGTTCATCAGCACACGACGAATACGAATCTTTTCCCCACAGTTACTCTAAAGATTCAAATAAAACAAAACATTGAATATAACCCTTCTCTTATTATAATGTTAGGGCAAAGCACTAAGATGTGTGAGTTTTAAAAGTGCAGCTTCCAAAGAGGCGGTGGTGAAACACAGCAGCTCTACTATGCTCAGTGTCAGGATAAGAGCTTCTTATGTCACGGATGAGAAGCGTTATCAACACTATCCGGTATCTGCAAGCTTTCAAGGGAACAGTGCTGATTCTTCCTCATACTACTGATAATAATTAAAATGTATGGGGTAAAAGTAGGCTTATCTTAAAAAAAAAAAAAAATAGAAGAAAGCATACAGGAAAGATCCTCAAAACATTCTTAGGAATTGGAGGGAAAGCTCACTTTCTTTTGATCAGCATCGCAGATTAAAAATCATATTTACAAAGACTGATGCTTTATAGGACAGTGTGAAAAAAGCCTTCCAGGTGCTGCTTTGCTGTTACAATTGGATGATTGTTCTACAAGGTACCTCAAGCATCTCATCTTAGGATACTGAGGTCAGTATTCATACAAACAGGAAAGTAGCAGCCAGAACATCAGAAGAATACGAGGTGCTTTACTAACCCATATCAGTTCTTCATTTCTCCTTTCCCTTCCCCCTCCAATTTTTTCTTTTTTAAATAACTACCAGTGCTTACTGACTGACCACTCTCCCCCCACCCTGTAGCCAGAGTACTTCTCACAGATAAGCTGGCTGGTGAAGGTAAGGTATTTCTCAGCAGTTCTTCCAATTCATCATCTGTTGGAATTGCAGGGATCTTTAAAGCATCATGAAAAAGTCCACCACCTGAATTACGATACTGGCACTTTCATTTTAGCAAATGGTGTATTACCTTTTTCATTTTTTTGGCAGAGGGACACAACTATGATAAAGCACCTTTGCAACACCCACTCGCCCACTGTGGCAGGTCACAAAGGTACCTCTGCATGAGTCAGGGGAAAAAAAAATAATCATACTGAAAATAGCTCTTCATCTCTAGAGAAAGCAGTTTGACCACTGGATATGATCATTTCTGACACTACAACCAGGGAAGAGATCAGAAAGCATTTCTTCCCTACAGCAACCTTGAAAATAAACCAGAATTTCAGTCCCAATTATCAAGAGACAAAAATTCAAAATAAACAGAAAGAAACAAGCTCAACAACAAGACAATAAAGACAGCTGGGGTTTTTAATGTTGCTTATTTGTTTGGCGTTTTTGACAGGTAGAAAACTATGATGTTAATATTAAAACCTTGTATCTACATATAAAGATGACTATAATCACGTATTTTTTGCAAGGATCACTCAAAGTACAAGCATTCCTGTGAATTACCTCACAACATATCTTACTCTTAAACTGTCTTCTTTGCTTCAGCTAGCTACCATGAGCTTTTTCTGCAAGACAAGAATCTGGCATCCTGATGAAAAGCTTTCTTTGCAAGACTTTGAGACGACTCTTAGCTAAGTCTCAACCCATTCTCAGAACTTTCGTCTAGCCAAAGAAGCACTCAGTATCAGTTCTTTTTCCCTTCATTCACTGAAAAACTGAGACGTACAGGACTCAAACCCAAGGAAAACTCTTACCTATCCTTTTTATCCTTTAGGCTAAATCTTGAAAATGCTCTTGAGTTAAAGGTGCACACCAGTGTACAATCTAGTAAACTTCTGTCCTGTCCTCTCCATTGCCCCCCCAAAGGAAAACTAAGGGTACTAACTGGACAATTTCGTAGATCTCCCATTGTGCTGGCATTCTGTAGTAGCTCTCCAAACATATCTGGAGTGGGTTTCTCTCGTCTCTCCAGCATGCAAATAGCTTGATTGCTTCAGTATAGAGAAAGCATGAAAAACAAAAGTTTAATAATAAAATAAAAACACAAACCCACAATCTCCATTTCACTTACATTTTATGAGAAACTTAAAAATACACCAGACTTTTTATAATTAATATCCTAATGCAGAAAAAACTCATAATTGTGATAATACTGCATAAAGAAAACACGTAAAACTTAAAATAGAAACATTTCATAGTTTTGCTTAAAATTTACATATTAAATGCAAGCTTTAGCTTTTTGACAAATACTTGGTTTCCAAATGAAGTACTTGCTTCAAAATGCTTCCCTTCATGTGGAGAAGCACGCACAAACTCCGACATGGTGGAAAACGAAATTCGCTTTATTGCAAGCAGACACACATATTTATACTTCTTAGCAAGAAGCACTATTTGTGGGTTACAAACAGGAGACCAGACTATACAGCAAGGGTTGTTATTAGCTCATGCATTCCTTCAATCACTCTCTTATCACACAGGGAGAACAGACTTTCCCCGGTCTGTTCTGATCATACTCTCATGCACATCTTGTGTACAAGAAGCCTCTTATCTGTCCATTCTCATGCACAAACTCCCAACATGAGCTGTACTCAGCTGGTCAGGGTCTCTTTTCACTATTAGCAAGCAAGAGTTATGCACTTGTTTAGAAAAGAGCTCAAGGACGAAAGTCTTATTTCTGCAACGCAGTGCTGCCAGCACAGTTAACTGTAAAGTGTATCCACACCTTCATTAGCCACAACCCTACCAAAGTAGCACAGTAAAGCACACCCTTAATAATAAAACGACAGAAAAAAGCCAGCACAGTACCCAATTGATTTCACTGTTCAGATTGAAAGATGACAATAAGTAAGCAGGAATACTAGTGCTCAAAGTATCTTCAATAATGCATGATTTATTTAATACAAAATATTGGATACCAGTTACATAATTCTTTTCCTATTTTTCTAATAAATAACAATCTGATGCACAGTGTATGCTGGCAACCTACAAAACACCCACAGCTGGACAGAAGGACAGGCAGTAGCCACAAGGGGGAAATGCTTGACAATACTCCTGATACACTCGCTGGTAAAGCTTTTAATGGAGATCTGCATGAGAAGAGCAACCCGAAGTTTTCAAAACAATTTTTTGGGCTCACTAACTACATGTCCCACATGCATGATGAGAAACAAAGAGAAGTCTTCATCCCCACCAAATTTCAAGACAAAAGCAAGTAAGACTCCTGCCTTGATCAGATTTAAGCAGCTTTTAACTGAGCAGCCACCTACTAAAAGAGAAGATCTCTCCTCTAGCACTCAGTCAAATGAATTACTACAGAGCTAGAGCTATTGCTCTGTGCACCACCTCCTTTAACAAAAGGTTTGGAGGAGTCTCCCAGAAAACAGAAAAAACAAAAGCTACATCCACCCAAGGAAGAGGATTTGAGGGACTACAGGCTGATCAGTCTTGCTCCAGTACCTAACGTGACAACAAGCCAAATCCCCTTGGAAATCATCTTAAGTCATATGAAGGACAAGAAGGTGAGACAGTACAGTCAGCAGGGATTTACCAAGGGCAAATTATGCCTGACCTACTTGATTATTTCTTATCATAAAATGAGAGCTTCTGTTGAGGAAGCAGGAGCAGTGAATACCATTTGGTCTCCAGTAAGGTTTCCAAGTCACCTACAGTGTTCTTGTGGCCAAACTGCAAGGTGTGGACTGCACGGGCACAATACAATGCAGACAGAAACCTGATCTACAGGTTCAGAGGATCAAAACGCAATCAGCAGTCAGTCAAGAGTTGTGTTTCTCAGCAGTTAATGCTGGGGATGATGCTATTTAACATTTTCATTAACAACCTGGATGATGAATCAGAATACACCCACATCAAGTTTACAGATGACACCAAACCGGATGGAGCAGTCAATACAGAGGCAGAGAGTGCTGCCATCCAGAAGGATCTTGACAGGTTGGAGGAACAAGCTGACAGGAACCTGATGAAATTTAGTAAAGGAAAATACAAAGTCTTGCACCTCAGGCAGAGCATACTCAGTTCAGTAGTACCGGTTGGGCATTGAACAGCTGAGGAGCAACACTGCAGAAAGATGGTAGAGAAGCTGAATAAAAGCCAGACTCTTTGCAGAGGTGAACAAAGAAAGGACAAGAGGCAAAAGGTGCAGAAAGAGAAGTTCTAACTGGATATAAGTAAAAAAATAAATAATAATAAGAAGAAAAACCACGCTGAGTGGTTAAGCGCTGGAACAGGCAGTCCAAAGAAGTTACAGAGTTTCTGTCCATGAATTTTTTCATGTTTTCAAAACTCAGCTGCACAAAACTCCAAGCAGTCTGATCTAGCTTTGAAGTTAGCCCTGCTTTGAACAGGAGAATGGAGTAAATGTCCAAAGGTCCCTTTCAGCATAAATTACTTTTTATTTTTCTTATCTTGCTTCTTAACTCATCTGCTCACATATTAAGGCCTTCCAAAACATACATGAGTCCTTGCTATTACAGTTGTCAGATTCGGAATCACAAAAAAACATCCATGCCTAAGCTACTATCTTTGGCTCAAGTTTTTCATTATAGTTATCAAAGCTTCACCAACTTTGAATAAATCATGTTCTGGGCATTTCGTCTTATGAAGGTAAAGATCAAACTGCAAAACCATTATTACGAAATAAAATAAACAAGTTCCCTGTAAAAGTTTTAACTCACCAGAGAGAGGTTGTGGAAATATAATGTACCATCTGGATGAAAGGCAATGGGTCAGAGGTGGCACCACAGCTGGTACAAACACACTAAAGAGAAAGAAAACATAATACATCGACAAGGTTAAACAGGTATTTCCACAGCAATGCTTCTGCTTGTATTTTTTTTACCATGGCAATGCATGTATTAGGAATGAAAATTCAGAACTTGAGAACGGTTGATTTGTATCATTACCTCACCTGTTCAAACAAGGTCATTGCAAACTTCTGATGGGAAACACAATGTGGCGCAGTGCAAATATCTTCCTTTGTCTCATCTGCAATGTGGAAGTGAATTCGCATTAACAGGTTTTCCTACCCAAAGAGAGGAGAAAAGGCAAAAACAGGATTACAACATTTCAACTGCAGACAAAACTCAAAATACAAACCACAAAAGCATGTCAGATACAATAATGTTATAAACTTTATTTAGAGAGACAGAAAGCTCTTGTAAATTTTTGGAAGTTCCTTAGAATACAAAGAAGCTGGTATTTCCTTGATTAAAAAAAAAAAAAAAAGAAAAGGCTATCACTTCTGATTTGAAATATTATGTCAGGTAATCATTTATCTTATTTACCAGAACAGGCAAGGATTCTGTCACTGATTACTCTGTACAACTCTCAAGCATCAATAGATCTGACCAAACGTAACAGGCTCTGCAGTTGTAACCTCACTGGGTTGCCAATAACTCCTCATCAACACAAAGTAACCTGAATCAGTATCAATATTCCACAGGGGCTTTGAAATATGGCAAATAAGCTACATTCTATCAAAAAGGGAAAGAATTAACAAATGAAGAGGCAGACTAAATTCTTTATGAAACAAAAGCACTGAACATTTTTCTAGGTACTACTTCACACAACACCATCTCTTTTCAAGTTTCCAGGAGTTTTTGTGCTAGAGACCTCGTCTCTCCTCCCACTTAATGTTGCCATCATTCATCTGAGGGTACCAGAATTCTCCTGACATCTCTTTCAGCAGCTCACTTTTCAGTAGCACTATAGCTCTCATTCCACTTATAATTTCCCTTTAACTTTAGTATTTAAGCTCTTCTGCTATTTAAATTAAATCTCTGCCTTTAGGGCTGAAAAGGTTAACTAAGTGAAAAGCTATGGAATTATCTCTGCCTTACAGCTAAACCTCAAAAGGGAACTTCCACCTATTTTAACTGTCCTCATGTCAGCACAGTTAACCTGACAAACCTGCTTGTGGGGACTCCCTCAGCTGTATTAGATGGGCTAGTTAGATCAGCCTCATCAATGAAGAAACTAAACCAGAAGTTCCCATGTTGTACTGCCTAGAGAATTCTGTTCAAGTGCAGGACTGCGTACAAAAATTTGACATAACGGTGCTCGCAGGGGCCGACTGAATTTATTTCACGTTGAGGCTTGACTGGCATGATCTATTTTACATAATACCAAATCACTCCACTTTAAGAAAACTCACTGAACTATTCCTTTTTGCTACGGTAGCATTCTACAGACACAGGATATCTTGGTTTATCATTAATCCATTACCAGTCCACTTAGTTTAAGAGAAAAACTACAACAGCTATATGTATTTATCACATTTCTATGATCTCTTACAGTCAAATTAGGTAGGTATAGTAAGTGAAAGATGTAACATATAGAAAGGACTTTAGTCTGACAGGTGCTTTACCTGAGAGAAGTTGGTTAAGAATTAACATCTTTGTTAACACCCAAGTAGGATACAAACACACTTGAGCAATGCTATGGACACCCATCATTTCCAGAAACAAGAGCAGCCAGTGAGCCCACAAGATTAAAATACCACTTCATTAAGTTAAAGAAATTCAGGACTCCAAAGAAGGAAAAGGAAGAAATACGAGCAAGAATAAAATTGTAACATAATGGATGCAAAGCAAAAGTTTGAGTATAAAAAGAAAACAGGTGGGTAAACCTAGGGATGCAAGAAAAGTGTAAAAGCTGTGTCCCAATCCACCTAAAGAAATAACATTGTGAGATGGTTTAGAAATAGAGATGATCCATTTTGCTACTGCTTACCTCATCTTACAAAAGTAAGTGTTGGGTTGTGTTTGGTTCATTTATTTATTTTTACTTTTGCTCAGCTAGATTTTGTGAAAACATTATTTCAGTATAACCAGCAAACAAAACGTCCTTTCACCCTTTTGAGATCAACTTTAAAATTAGAATCCATTTTTGCAGTGTCATTTTTTTTACAATTCATATTCAAGACAAACTTGAGACTGCAAGCACTACATACACAACAGTAACTGTAAAAATGGGGAACACTGATGTTTCCATTTTAAAGTCATCAGCAATAACTCTCAAATCAAATATTGTTCCCCTCTGGATCACTTCAAGCTTGGGGATCTATCTCTGGGATTTTTGAGGCCCCACACACAAAGTCTGTCGGAATTTGAAGAGGGGAGGAACAGTAAAAAAACAAAAAACCAAAACAAAGGAAAACCAACACTGTCTAGTGGGGGCTCACATCTATATGTGCCTGTCAAACCATTTTTCACTTATACTCACAAAACACTCAGCAGCATCATCCATGATGCCCAGCTGGAAGCGCTGCTCATCCTGAAATGTCTTTGCGAGCGCAGTGCGCAGAGCATCAGAAGGCAGCACCTTCTCACTGCTACACTGAAACTGGTTGAAGATGCCCTAGCAAGAAAACAAAAAGATATTTAAATTAGTAGATTTTCAAAGCATTACTCAAGTTACATAAAAAAGAACAACAAATCTTTAACTCACTTGGATCAAGCAAATAAAACCAACACCAGAACTTCTTCAC